CTAGCAATAATAAGTATACAATCATGCAAGATGCAAGACAGTCGTAAGATTTCAAGGATAAATATATAATATCACAGAAGTTAAACATCAACACCTTAGCACAGGACACTGCCATAACCATTTTCGCCCCTGCTTTGGCAATACCACTGGCCTCTGATCTGGATCCAACCTATAAACCAAGAAACTTCCAATTATCAATCATTCGGACTTCAAAGAGGGTGTCCATTCACTCACTGGGTTCATGAAATCTGAGCAATCTAAAAAGTAGAACAGGTCTGCCTGGGGACCTGCGCGAATTTCCAGTTTAAAAAATATAATAATAGGTAAAATAGGTCCAGGTTTTTCTTCTTTGTTTCTTTGATGAATCTAACAGGCTCTGCTTAGTGACCAAATTGTATAACACAAATTGCAATAAATCCTATATGAGCAGTACTAAGTCAAGCAGTTTTACATCCAAGATAGACTGGGCTGCTTGAGGAGAAAAAGACTCACTAAGGGACATAATGGTATAATGGCATTTGCATCTAATTGAGAAATCCCGATAATTTTTCTGATTATCTCCATTTGAGGAGACTGAGGAGACTCAAGTTGTTAAGATGGGTACCATCCTATCAGTGGTCAACATGTCATCTTCAGGGTCGACAAATTTATTGTCAGAATTGATTTCTTTCCGTGATCATTAATATTTTCCAGTGGAATAAATATGTTTTACATTTTGGTAACTAAGTCCGGTATATGATGGTAGTATTTGAAAAAAAATGGAAATATACTTTAATTAAGTTAGTGCGAAAGAGCACATTGACAGAGCAATCATAGATTTCCGTATCAAGGATCTTGGTTTACTCTTTATGGCATTTCCACAAGCAAACTAATCTAATCCTGCAAAGGATTATTTATGGAACTACTATAGAGATTATGGGGACCACCCTTTTTACAACTTCCGTTGGTTCTCTTTGTAGGTCTGTAGGGGTTTTGGAAGTGGCGTGCCAACCCCCTGCTGGGGATGAAGCCAACCCTTCTAGTGTGGACCCAGCAAACTATCTGGGGAACTAATGCTCAAGCATATGCAGATCTTGTGAGTATCCTGATTCACATGCTTTATCTATTACTCAGAGAAAGGAAATTAGAGGTAAAACATAAAATATCCAACACCATACCATGAAACCTGTGATATTCTGAAGAAATATCAAAGGAATGTTGCGTTGGACACATAACTGAATAAAGTGAGAACCCTTTAAAGCAGATTCAGTAAATAGTATTCCATTATTTCCTATTATTCCAACTGGTTGGCCAAAGATCCTCGCAAAACCTGTTACAAGTGTCTGTACAAACATAATGTTAAAAATACATAAATAGATATTTCACTTAAAATGTTTCAACAACTGCAAGCTTATTTCTCTTACAGTGCCATATAGCTTTTTGAATTCATCAAATTCACTACCATCCACAATGCGAGCAATGACTGATCGAATATCAAAAGGCTGCTTCTGATCTGTTGGTGCAATTGATCGAAGTTCTTCAGCATCATATAAGGGTTCTTCATAATCAGAAGAATGAGAAGGTTGAACTCCTTTCCCAGCCATATGTAAATTTTTCACAATATTTCTCCCTATTGTTAGTCCATCTAGTTCATCTGGAAGAAACAAAATCGGTAAGAATCCTCCACATAGTCTATTTGTTATAGTGTCCTTGGTGTTGGGTAGAAGAAACAAAGAGACAAAAGGTCCTGAAAATCTTTTCTCAAAATTACTTAATAGCTGCAATGATACACACAAAATAGATTGGTAGTCAAAGCATGTAGAACGTCGAAAAATCAACCAATGAAAGAAATTAAAGGTAATGAATAACTAGAAGTGTTTAATTTACTCAACTTCTATGTTCATAGTTCACAAGAATCAACCATGTAGTTCATATTAGTTCGGGCACAGGCTCGGTAGGTTAGAAAAATATATTAATGAAGATCAAAAACATTAAGAGACATGTAAACCACATCTCAAAAAATTACTAAACAGCTGCATGGCAGAAAATTATACACGTAAAGGATTGGTGGCTGAAGTATGTTAGAAGCAATGAAAGTTCAAAAAATTATATCGATCAACTAAATTAAAGGAAATGAAGCAGTATTAAGAGTGTTTGATTTTATCAAATTCTATCAGTTCAGACAATAGTTTTACAGGAATGAGCAGGAAGAAAGAGATACCATTAGCAAAATGATCTGAAACTCCGGACACTTTGCAATGCATGGCTGCACCTCCCAAATCCTCAGCAGAGACCTCTTCTCCTGTAGCAGCCTACCAAAATTCCTACAGAATTAACCTAGATTTTAAGAAACATACATTTTCTTGAAGTTTCAGCAAAGAAGTACTCCAGTAAAGAAGTGTGAAACAAACAAAGACTTAGACTGACCTTCACCAGGGGAGGTCCCGCTAAAAATATTGTACCATTTCCTTTCACTATAACACTTTCATCTGCCATTGCAGGTATATAAGCTCCCCCAGCAGTGCAAGATCCCAAAACAAGAGCAATCTGTGGAATACCCTCAGAAGACATTTTTGCCTGATTGTAGAAAATTCTACCAAAATTATCTCGGTCAGGAAATACATCCGCTTGCCTTGGAAGATTGGCACCTCCGCTGTCGACGAGATATATGCAAGGCAATTTGCACTCAGCAGCAATTTCTTGAGCCCTGAGATGTTTCTTGACAGTGACAGGATAATACGTGCCACCTTTAACTGTGGGGTCATTAGCTACAAACATGCAAAGGCGTCCATGCACCGGCCCTATTCCAGTAATAATCCCAGCGGACGGTAATGGCTCGTCATATAAATCATAGCCTGCGAGCTTCATTGTGTAAATACCTAATTAGGGTCTGGCAATAGGAATATATTAAAAAACACAAAAAAAAAACTACATCCCATAAATCTTCAACAGCATTAAAATATTAAACTAACAGCTGTAAGATTATTATATTTCAAAAAAGTGAAAAATATTACATTTCGAAGAAAAAGGAAAAGAAAATAATTGGTTATTAATTATCAAATTTGACTACAACTTTAGTTAATAAATGTGCACTGAAGAAAACTTGATGAAGGATTACACAAGGAAATAAAGAAAATATAGAAATAACACAAATAGGGATTAACTTGCTTTTTGTAGAGCATTGCTCCTCCAGTAGGGGCTCGCTAGTGCTCATTGCGAGAGTGGAGAGTTTTAAAAATTCATTTATTAAAGCACGCAGACGAGATCCAGCAAAAATTGTTTTCTACTTGCCCATGCTTCAGGCACAAATTGCACTCAAGAACAACTGAGTTTTCTCTATAGGGTCACTCTCAGTGGTGCTTCTTTTTTTTGCGCGGGCAGTATTTTGCACATGCAATGCATGTGCAGGAAACCCTTGTTCGGTACAGATTCTTTGGTTGAGAGTGAAGTACCTAAACAATTTAACGATTTCGTAGAGCTCTAGTATCTTTTCTAAGACGGTGATGCCATGAGCGAAAGGGAGACTAAATTCAACTGCAAATTGTGACCTCAAAATAGCGTATTCATTAATACAGCTCCCAGATTTTCAGAAAAGCTAGAAAAACAAATCCAAAGACTCTGATTTTGTGGCTATACACAGCTCGATACTCGGCGATTTCACAGAAAAAAGAAGAAAGAAGAAAGAAGAACGAAGAACCTGAGAGAGCTCAAGGAACGAAGATCCATCGTCAACCATCCGATCGATCCGCTCCCTCGGCAGCAGCTTATCCCTGCCTCTGTTCCTTCTCACAGCTTCAGGTCCACCGCCAGCAAAAGCCTAAGTAGATGGTTACAAGAAAACCATCAGAAATTAGAGGGGGGGAATAAAAGAAATAAACAAATGAACAAAGAGGCCCTAGAGACCTTTTGGACGTGGGAATGGAGCCGAGAGAGGAGCTGTCGGGCTGCGGTGGAGTTGCGGAGAAAGGCGTCGGAGCTCCGATCGATGCCATCGGGGAGAACGCTGGCGGAGGAGGAAGAAGAAGAGAATGGAGAATCCGGTCGAGGAAAAGGTAGCGGCTTCTTCTTCAGCGATCGATTAGCTAAAGTCCTCAGCATTTTTTGTTCCTTTTTGAACTTGTTTGAAAGAGAGAGGAATTTCTTAGTAAACGAAAAGGGCGAGTCGATCTGTAGCAGAGAGAAGGTGGACGAGAGAACGTTGCCCACTCCGTGGTGCTCTCTCTCTCCCTCTCTTGCGGATAAGCACGTGCTGATGTGTAAATATTATCTTTAGCGTAGATATTGAGGCCTGATCTCTAGGCTCTCCACTTTGCTGCTTACGGACCTGTTAGGGTCATTTTCTTAGAAAATGTAGGAAATGGAGTTCCTCGCAAGAAATCATATATACAATGTTTGTTTGGTTCATTTATTAAAAAAAATATAGAAAATGGGATTCCTGGCAAGAAATCATATATACGATGTTTATAGGAAAGGAAAGGGTAATTTGTTTCGAATCCTAAAATTCCGGAAAGCGAAACTAAGAGAAGAGAGAGAAAGAGAGATAGTGGGATGTTCACGTGGCATTAATGTGTAAGTTTACTGCCTCAAATCCTCTCGAAAACAAGGGATTTGATTTTCTTAGTCATTTTTTCTACTTTACTCTCTCTTATATTCTCCTATTATAAATAATTTGAATTCTATGAGGACATTTTCTATGTAGAATATCAAAACACTTCAAGTTCAGAAAGCATCATGCTCTCAATAACCCCCAATAAAAATAAGATTGGCAGTTAAGATTTAAACTGAACATGGTTATGAAAACACTATTTGTATGAGAAATAGCCTAATATACTTTTTATTCAATATAATATTCAAGTCTCAAGCAAATTTATTGAGTAGTAACTAAAACTTTAGAAAGATGGACATTCATTTCATTCATTCCTAGGAAAAGATGAGGGATAATTTGGTAATTTTACTGTCTACATGTCATTTTAAGGTCTCTCATTTCATGCAAAGCCTTAAATCCTCTTTCCAAATAATCATATCATATCATATCATATCATATCATATCATACTCTCTTTAAAAGAGGGAGTTGTGGAAAAACTTTCTAAGGACTATATTACCCTTATTTTCTTTTGATATTACATTCTAATACTAACTAAACTAAATTAATTATCATTGTTAATTAATTACATTATATGTCACTTTAAGTTTGTATTATTTGGTCCTTAAAACTTCCAACGTTATTATAAAACTCTACATCATATTTATTATTAGCAATGTATAATAATATATTAATAGATAATTGCATGTCAATAAAGTATTTATGGAAAGAATAAAAAACATAGAATTATCCTAAAATTATACCATGAAACTCATATAGGAAAATTACAAAGAACATTCTTATGATTAGGTAACAAGACAGAAGGTACAAACATTACATTATAGAAAATATTAGGATATTTAAGCGCATCAAGATACGTTATCTAAAAATTAAAAAAAAAAGTGCAACAAGATACAAGTGGAGGTATATAAGTATAATTTTGATAAACTACAAGGTATTTAAGTTCAGTTAAGCCTAGAAAAGATTTGAAACCTTTGTTATCTATAAACAATAGTATATGATCCCATTGACAAATACTATCCATCATACAATATGAGGCCAGATACTTAGCTAATATTTATATAGCAGATGAGATGTGAAAAAATTAAAGCATCATATTTTGAATGAGTCTCAAGATTTTAAATTATTTCCTAAAATTATATACTTCACTTAGAAAACTTTAGAAGAGGTTTTTTAAAAACTACTACAAAGTGTTGAACATCAAATAAATATTGAAAAACTAAATTCTATGATATCGGGTAGCAAAAATCAGGGATATGTATATAATATTGGGTGTCATATGAGTAAATATTCATACATAACATGACATTGTAATATCTAATCTAACATATTATTGAATTTTAAACATAAGAATTTGCATCAAGATATATGTTTAAGATTTGGGAGAGCCCAAAGTGGAGAGTTTTAGGAGAAGAATTGTGGTCTTTGTGGGTTTTGCAGGTTTCAATTTTATTTCCCAAATACAATCCAAACCTCAGCCCACAATCAAATTAAAAAATGACATGATTTTCTTGATACCTTCAAAGGGATATATCGGCCATATTTTCGATAACTGACGATTTATCAAAAAAAGTAACAAACAAAAGAAAATAATATATAATATCACCAAGATAAAGTGTTTAACCCGATATATTAACCGATATAGCAATATATTGGTCGATATTTAATAGAATGCCTATAAGAGAAAATATGTAAATGTTATTTAGATATTAGTTTCTTGATTTTAAATATCCAATGATTTTATGTTATTCCCACAAATTTTATAAATTGCTTATAATTTTAGGGACTAATATTAAATTATTAAAATTTTGAGGGACAAATTATATATAAGCCATATTTGAGAGAATTGTTAATTTTTAAAAAACCCTCCTAACTATGGAGATTGTCTTAAAAAACCCACTCAACTGATTCAATTTGAAAAGACCCCCTCATTATGTGGGGTGTTATAGATAACCCCTCTCAATTTTGGTGTAATTTTATTAAGCATCTCTCAACTATAACGTATCTCATAAAAACTCCCATGATCTTTTACACTTCTATCAACAAAACCCCTTAACATAGTAACTTTGATATGTGATTTGGACAAAATACCATCTTGAATAAAGCAAATTTAATTAAATAGAAACCCTCAACCGACAATAAAAGGATCACAACCAATTTATAATGTTTCCCCCTCTATATCACCTCTTTTATCTGGCAAAAGCCAAGGTAATTCTTTTATGATTGATTAATATTTTGGTCTTTCCAAGTCAAGTACTTGTCACATAATAGATAAAACTTAATGATGTTAGTTTTGAGAGGTTATGTTTAAGTGAGAAAAGTTCACTGGGTTAAATCAAAATTTTTTAAGTTGAGATAGATTATCTACAAAACTTGACAGAGATTTATTCGGTCTTAAATAGTTTTGCCTATGGGAAGGGTTGTCATGCCCTCCATAGTTGAGGGGGAGTTTTCTAAAATTAACTCTTAAACCAAAGCACAACTTAAGGTACATGTGATATCAATTTTATAAGAGTGAAGTTTATAGCAAGTCTATCACTCAATAAATTGGCTTGTATTTCCTGTCCTTAAATTTATCCTACACATCAACTCTAAAAATCTTTTGCTATAAGAATCTCTAAGAGAAAGTTAATATTTATTTGGGATGGGTATATGATCGTTCTGATTCCCCTTGTCTTTTATAATTTGTAATAAATTATTTGACAAAGTAAATTAAGTTGTCATTTTATATTGCTCACATTCTTATAAGTTTATGAAGCTCATAGCTTGGTTATGAGTATTATTGTAAATATTGTATTCTTCTAATTCCTTAAGCTAAATTTTTGAATGTTGTTTGACTTGGATAGATATGAATTATTTTATTAAAATACAATCAATATGAGGGAATAATATGTACAAATCATTCTCAGACTATATTTTATAATTTTCTAAAACTAGAGAGTAATCGTTTTGACATATCAATTAATATTTGGGAAGATGTAAAAATAGTACAACATCAGATTATGGAATTGATCACACAATTTATATTTTCTTTCTTGATTAAATTTGCACATTCTAACTTAGAAAATTCTAGAAAAAATTTCTTGAATATCTATAATACTCGATCGCTACATAAGCAACAGGTGGAAATAAACAACAGATAGAAGTGGTTTTTTTATAACCGAACAAAATTTTCTTAATGACTAGATAAAACCTACCATGTTCCTTAATGAACTCAAGAATTTATTATTTATTAATAATAATAGGTTTTTTCCATATTAGTCCCTTACATCATTAATATTTTGTAACTATACATTCAAATAACTATTTAATCTTAAATTATTAATATTTTAAGGCTTTAAACATCACTATTTCTCTGGAAGACAAAATGTTAAAATCACACACGGAAATATCCAAAAACAATTAATATATTACAATAATTATAAAGTTTTTTACAACCATAATATAATAAATAAATAAACTTAAAGTAAATAATTATAATATTTGACCACGTGCACTATGCAGTGCACGTGCATTCCACCTAGTAATTATAAAAAAGAGAAGCCGCTTAGAGTATTAAAATGCTTTTAATCTATCAAAAATAGAAATAGAAAATCATAAACCATTTGATTGTAAAATATATACTATTATTCACCAAGAACTCTTTTCTTGCTTACGAACTATCTTTAATATATAGTCTAGGATATAATTTATTTTGAAATATGCTACTGAACAAACAATGAAACTTATAAAGTTTTAATAAAAGATGAGATGAAATTAATAATAAACTAATAATGTCAAAACTCGAAAAGAAAAACAAGAGTGATATGTGATAAAAAGATAGTTTAGCTATCTTTTTCTATATTTTTTTCACTTTTAACGTCTGCTTTGTTTTTATATGTAAAACGTACAAAATATAAGTTGTAATGTTTTATGCAAGTGCAGAGCTGCTAGTTAATTAGGATAAAAAACCTTTCCAACTTTACACGTATCTCCGTATATTATCATATTCAAGTAGGTAACGTCTTACATTTATAATCAAATTATTAGTCTGGACAAAAATGAACCCGTATACAATCCTAACTACACTTTCGCCCTAGCAAATCCCATTTGAGAAAGCCACATGCAAGTATAAGAACGAGCAAAAGAAGAACACAATTTGCCATTTCCCAGACCATTTTCTCATAGTTACAAAAGATGGAAAGATCACCAACAAGTTGTTGGTCCAGTGATAGGCAAGCTGCTCCCCAGACAGACTCTTGCCTCTTGGCAATAGTTCAAAACCTGGAAGCGAAAACTTGTTGGGAGGGGTAGCCACCAACCACAAAAAGGGTTAGTCCCATACAAATTTGTTCATAATTCATGACAAACGCAAAGCCTCAATGATCAAAGGGAATTAGCCCAGTGACTGTTGTTACCTACAGTACACTGACATATTCAGCAGATTTACAAAAATTGTGTACATCCAAGCAAAACAATCATATTTATAACTTTTGCTGATTCTTGCTGTGATCTCATATTGCAGGCTTGGTAATCTTCTATCCGTTTATCTGTAAACATCTCGTGGAATCTGCAGAAGCTCCAGCTTAATACTGCAACTCTCTGGAGAATCTTTGAACTAAAATTATAGCAAAAAATGATCAACTCCAAATCTTCGGCCTATAAGATTGGGAGGATATCAATGACTTCTCCTGCGAACAAAGATCTCCTTAAATTAGATACAACAGTAGTCTTTCTTAACTTGATAATAAAAATTTAAAAATTAAAAGTTAAATGAAGTATATGTCCGCTAGAATTATTTACATCTTTCAACTGACTCTGTGCTTTAGATGCAGCAGTATAAGTATTGTCAAAGATCAACAAAAATGTAGACTTAACAGAGGAGAGAACCTTGTGTATCCTTCTGCTCAGCAAGTATTGAGCAACTGATAAAACATGTACAGTTTCATTAATTGCTTATTTAGGTAGTCAAGTCTTGAGTTAATACACAAGTAATAAAAGTAGCCCTTTATGAATTTCCTGATTTTGTTTAAGTATAAAAATGAGCCACGTAGTGGAGAAAGGATGATTGATGATCAAGAAACCTCATTGAAGAAGACCACACCTCAGATTATAAAGAGTTCTAGAGTAGCCTATATGATATGTATATGCCAATCATGGAACGCAACCAATCAAGAACTAGAATTTTATTTAATTTACTTTTTTGGGAGGAAAAGCAGGATTATACCTTGTTTAGTGAAACAGGATGTGTATGTGATGAAACATCATATATAAACCCTAAAACAGCATGAACCTGAGCATCACTACATGAAGAACATGCAGGAACCTCTAAACGTTACACAAAGACAAACTACAAATGCATTAAAAGATTTAACCAGGGATAAAACAAAGATGGCAAAAGATGGAAATTTGACAGGCTATGATAAACACTGGTAGGCTCCCAAAGCAGCAATAAAAGTGTGAACGCCAACTTCCCACAATGAAGATAAGTGCCGAAATTATTGTTGTCAAAATCCGGCAACTAGTTTTTACGCTTTCATTAAACCCTTAGATAAAATCCACAGAAAACCACGAAAAAAAGTGAATTGATAAGTTTCCCAACACAACAAACTTTTGCAAGAGGGAAATATTACACTGATATATGTTGCTGGGTCTCAATCCGATATCAGTACTACTGAAGTAACCATACCTAAAAAGATGCTCTTACATGGCCTTATCCAAACAGTACCACCTCTAAGGTTGATCTGAATAGTTTTGAATTTAGTGTCAAAGCTCAATGATGTATATCAAATAAAACTTCCAGGATGAATTCCAGTTCCAAGATTTCTACAGTTAGGATACATCCATGCCAAAGCTTAACAAGAACAAGAAGACAGCTTACTAGCCATAATAAACTAGGCAAGATACAGATCCCTCCAATCCGTTAATTAATTACATAAAAACATCGGAACCTAAGAATTTTACAAGAGGGAAACATTCCCATCTCTCACATTATTGAAAATAATTTCAATATTTTTTTATGATAACATTAAGAGGAAGATTTATTTTTCTTCTTGCTCTCTAGCTCAGCTCTCTTATAACTTCATCTCTTTAGACTTTCCTAAGATTTTTCTAGGATTTTGTTGAGAACGGGAGGTCACATGCTATAGGGTACAGAGGCTTCTTTAAAAGACTACATGGTGCCTCTATCTTTTGTTATTGTTCACAACCCAAGGCTTGTCCATGTTTATATAGAATTTAAATGCAAGTTCTCCACTTTGTAAGATCCTAACTACAGTGGGATATGTAGAAAATTTATTAGAAAAAAGAAAATCATCCAAAATGTCAGGAAAAAGATATATATATAATATATATATATATATATAGAGAGAGAGAGAGAGTGAACTTATGTCAACTTAAGTGGACAAGAGGCCTTTGTCCCAAGCTTTCTATCCACTCATATATATATATAATATATATATATATAATAATATATATATATATATATATTATATATATATATATATAAAGTCTATTCATATCTTGCATGGATCCTAGGTATCATCAATGGATAGAGAGTTTAGTGGATGGTCCACTTAAGTTGACATAAGAATCTCTCTCTCTTCATATATATATAATATATATATATATATATATTATATATATATATGCAATGGATACAGTTTTTTTAATTCATAGCGATCCTGGAAAGCTACACTATGACAATACAAATAACATCCTTGGATAAGGCACAAAGAACTTTAGCATCATCTATGCAAAAGAAAAGCAAGGTATGGTAGCCAGCTGTACAGGCACATTGACAGTGCAGGTCATATGATTACCTGTCTCAAGGGCTTTAACCCTGCTTCAAAGGCGATATCTTCCAAATTTAGAGAAGCAGGAAACAAGTGGTGTTATTATATCCAGAAGCTGAGTACATATTAGCTGCTAGTGCAATCCCAAGTATTAATCATTTTGATTCAGGAGCAGGGACATTTTTGAAATGGCCATGACCAAACTTGTTAGTGGAAATG